ATTGTCCAATATTAAGTAGGTTGTGCTCGTTCCCTCAGCCGATGGCCACTAACTCAACCGTTGCTCCCCTTTTTAACTACCACCGCCCTCTTCAGCCTCCTCTTCCTCTTATCTGCTCCCCCCCCCCCCACAAAAAATAGCCTTTCGCCAAAACCCTTTACCCCCTCCATTCCTAACTACCCACTGCTTCCCACCGGTATTGACTTGCATTGAACATAAACACCGGTGTGTTGAGGCGAGCCTGGTTTTCCTAGTGCGATGACAGTGGCTGTGTACACTCACCTGCGTGGGTATGGGTGTTTGTATATGTGGGGGTGGGGTTGTCGGTGTGTGTTTATGGCTCTGTGACTGACTGTCACTGAGCTATTTGTTTCAGACCCCGCCTCCTAAACTTCTTTGAAAAATTTCACGGGTTTCCGTTCTACTGGGTCTTGTCACAGTTACTGTGGTAGCTGTGTATGGAGAACCTCCGCCATTCCTTCGTCCAAGTCGTTCCACTTTTCGGCCACCTTACATCTCGGGGGCTGAAATGCGTCTTCAGCTACCACCCGTGTTCCTCGTCATCCTTTTCTTAATTCAGTGTCTGCCCCCCTTCTCCCGGCGATCCGCCAGCAGGAACAACGTGGTTGACCAAGCAAGCACCAAACAGGCCTGGCCGGGCTGCTGGAGTAGGAAATCGCGAAACCCGCCAGTTATCTCAAAGGTCGCCATAAGTCTTCCTTTATACCCCTCTTCGGCAAGATCAACAGGTTCAATTTTTAAGCCTCGTATTGCATTCCTCTTCTACTGGTACTAGTCTGGTTGCGAACTTTTGGACCTCTTTTGGACGTAAACATGCCTGATTAGGCGTGGGCAGCATGCAGGGCCCGCATACTCGATGATTGCCAAAATATATGTTGCATGCAAAGTTTTGAAGAATTTTTGTATTAGTTTCTGAATGCTTTTTTAGGTTTTGCTGATCTTCCATATGCCGTCATGGTTATTTTTGTGGCTGTGGAATAACTTTGGTTCTTTTTTAACCTTTGATGTTATTTTTTCAAATTGTTTTTAGCTTCCCTTCATGTTCATTATTCTGGCTTTTTCTCTTGTTTTCCAATTTTCTGGGGGTTCATATGCTCCATATTTCTTCCAAGCTCCTTTGCTTCTCTCATTAGCACCTCTATATTTCCGGTTGAATCATGGCTTTCTGTTTGTTCTTCGTGCTTAGTATAAATCTTTCTTTTGTCTCTTGAATTTTCACTCTATGACTTCTGGCCTTGTACGGTTTTTCCTTTCATTATAGTCGCCCCTCATGTAGTCCCATTTTGTTTCTTCCATTTTTTTTCTCCATTTTTATATCTACTAGTTACTCAATAAAAATAGTACCCCATAGTAACTGGCAGCTCGTGGTTCCCCACAAGTAATTTCAGTTATGTTATACTTTCTTTTATTGTTTCCTTCATTTATTGTCTTTGAAAATGCATTACTGCTTTAATTTTTTTGGTCCATCATAGTTGAAATGTTGAACTCTTCATACTACTAGTACTAGGAGTTAAACTTTTCTTCTTGCTGTCAGCCACTGCCTCCAGTGTGTTAATCATTATCCTGCAGTTCTGATTCTGTCAACTTTAGTAGTGGATGTATCACTGGTACTGTTATTTAGATCATTCCAGACGTAACGGTGCTTGTTATATAATCTCTAAAATCCCGTTTCCGGGTTTCCTAGTTTCTCAGTTTTCTAATGATTGCTGATCATAAGTGTTGCTTCTCCTTTATTTGTCATTTCTTACTATTTGGTAGCCCTCTGTAAATATTACATTTGGTATTCTCGAGTTTCGCCTCTGTAATAGTCGTAATATCAGGGTTTTCGTCTCATTCACAACAAACATTTGGTGACGACTCGACATTTGAGTACCACACTCGTTCTTTTATTTCAAATTGTTATTTGGGCAGGCTTACTTGTTTTCTCCCTCACTCCTGGATATAAAGCTTCTGTGAAGTGCTGGGACATTTCCTGGATTCTTTCCCTTTGTTGATCTACCCTTTTCTGAGATAGGTGGCTTGTTCATTTCTCTTTCTTTTCTTTTTCCATGTCTCCCTTTGTCTTTCTTTCCTCCTGTCTGGTCTTTAACATACTGTCTTGAATTTATGCTTACTATGTTCCTTATTTCTTACCTTGTAAACAGATTTCGCAGGTACAGGTCTTCAACTGTGCATATGTTACTACCCTTCAAAAAATAATTTTCCTTGTCTCGCTGCCAACTCTGTTCTTCAATCAGATTTCAATATTTTGTTCAATGTGTCGGCTTGCCGTCCTCTCATGTTCTTAGATCAACCTGAACACCATGTGTTCTGTGCCTCGTGTCCTTTATCTTTTTTTTGTATTCCCTTAATTCCTCAGGATTATTTACCATTTCTACTTTTTTCTCTTTCCTAACCGTTATATATTGGCTATTCATAAATTTTACTTTCCGATTTATGTCTTTCTGGTCGGTCTCCAGTTGATTGTTTATTTCACATTAAAGGTCCTTTGCCAAATTTTTGACATAACCCTAACTCCACTAGACTTTGAGAAAGCCATTGACAACATGCCCATGCACTCATCCCCAGGCCCAGACTCTTGAAACTGTGTTCATTAAGAACTGCAAGAAACCCCTCTCCCGGGCTCGTATGCTATGGAAGAGCATAACACAAGTGAGATTCCACAGTCACTAAAAACAATGGATATAGCCCCACTCCTTAAAGGTGGCAGCAAAGCAATAGTTAAGAGCTGTAGACCAATATATCTAACGTCCCTTATCATAAATATCTTAGAGATTTAAGAAGCAGGATTACAAACAACTTGGATTCCCTACAGTTGCACAATCCAGGGCAACATGGGTTCAGAGCAGAGCGCTCCTGCCTGTGGCAACTACTGGATCACTATATGGTCTTGGATGTTCTGGAAAACAAACAGAATGCAGATGTAGTATACACAGATTTTGCAAAAGCCTTTGACAAGGGCGATCATGATGTAATAGCTCACAAAATGCGTGCTAATGGGATAACTGGCAAAGTGGGCAGATGGCTCCTCAACTTTCTAACCAATCGAACACAGTAGTGGTAAACGGAATTGAATCGGAAGCTGCCATAGTAAAGAATTCTGTTCCACAAGTCACAGTACTCGCTCCTATCATGTTCCTCATCCTCATATCAGACATAGACAGAGGTGTAAAGCATAGCACCGTATCATCCTTTGCAGACGATACTAGGATCTGCGTGAGTGTTATCCATCGAGGACATGGCAAATCTCCAATGGGCAACGGAGAACAATATGATGTTCAATGAAGACAAATTCCAACTACTCAGTTATGGAAAACTGGAGGAAATAATAGCTAGAACTGATGATACTACAAACTCTAATCACACAATAGAACGGAAAAGCAATGCGAAGGACATGGGAGTGGTAATGTCTGAGGGTCTCACCTTCAAGGATCATAACAGTGCCACTATCACATCTGTGAGGAAAATGATAGGATGGATAATGAGAACATTCAAGACAAGATGCCAAGCCAGTGATGATCGTTTTTAAATCTCTTGTTCTCCCTAGGCTGGAATACTGCTGTATATTAACATCTTCATTCAAGGCAGATGAAATTGCAGATCTGGAGAATGTACAGAGAACTTTTACTGCGCATATCAGTTTCCTCAAACACTTTAACTACTGGGAATGCTTGGAAGCACTTGACTTGCGCTCACTTGAGCGCAGGCGAGAGACATATATTATAATCTACACCTGGAAAATCCTAGAGGGACTGGTCCTAATCTACACACAGAAATCACTCCCTACGAAAGCAAAAGACTTGGCAGGCGATGCAATATAAGCCAAGTGAAAAGTAGGGGCACCATTAGTACACTAAGAGAAACACAATACGTGTCCAGGGCCCAAGACTGTTCAACAGTCTTCCATCAGCCATAATGGGAATTACCAATAGACCCCTGGTTGTCTCCAAGAGGGAGCTGGAGAGATACCTAAAGTCGGTGCCGGATCAGCCGGGCTATGGTTCGTACGTTGGACTACGTGCGGCCAGCAGTAACAGCCTAGTTGATCAGGCCCTGATCCACCGGGAGGCCTGGTCATGGACCGGGCCGCGGGGACGTTGATCCCCGGAATACCCTCCAGGTAGGTGTGTGGGGAGAGAGAGTAAGTGTATGGGAAACAGCTTACCTGGAGAGAGTTCCGGGGGTCAACGCCCCCGCGGCCCGGTCTGTGACCAGGCCTCCTGGTGGATCAGAGCCTGATCAACCAGGCTGTTGCTGCTGGCTGCACACAAACCAACGTACGAGCCACAGCCCGGCTGATCAGGAACTGACTTTAGGTGCTTGTCCAGTGCCAGCTTGAAGACTGCCAGGGGTCTGTTGGTAATCCCCCTTATGTGTGCTGGGAGGCAGTTGAACAGTCTCGGGCCCCTGACACTTATTGTATGCGTTGTAGGTATTTTGTGGTGTTGGACTGGGCATAGGTAAAGTAAAAGGACACAAGTGCAACTAATGTGACATTTTATTGTGGCAACGTTTCACAGTTAGTAACAGCTTGACGAAGCTGTTACTAACTGCTTGACAAAGCTCCTGGAGAGCGAAACGTTGCCACAATAAAATGTCACATTAGTTGCACTTGTGTCCTTTTACTTTACATATTGTCGGTAATTCTACCAACATATATACAGTCTGTGGGTATAGATGTTGTGGGTGTTAATGATGGTGCTTTGAAGGAATTTTGTAGTCTGTTCAAGCGGAATATATTCTAGCAGGCCTGACAGATTGAATATTCCTCCAGTACTAAGGGGTTCTTCGTTAAGATTATGATTCGGTAACCTTGCATACACTACTAGTATTGTGCGGTGTGTGCATCTGTGTGGGCATTGAAAGGTCGTGCCGGTTGATGTGGTTGTTGGATTAGTGTAGGCGTTGAAAGGTTTAGGGTTTGGGGATGAGGGTGTGGGTGTATAAGAGAACTGATGATATATCTTTGCCTCCCACAGGAACGCCAGCAAGCCGGCCTCACTGAACCGCGACCGTTTGGACGAGCAGCTGAGAGAGCACCGTCAGCTCCACGCCGACATCATGTCCCACCAGGTACTGTTTTCTGTCTTTTTTTTCAGGATCTTGTGCTCTCATCTTCCCATTTTTCCCTAGCCACGTGTCTACCTGTCTTGTTCCTCTGTATATCACTTTGTTGTATCTTGAGTGACTTGTTGGGACCTTGTCTTTCTTGTGTGCAAGTACCTTCTGACTTGTACTGTTATAATATCTTCCATTCACTTGTGGTTCTCAAACATTAGTAATTCTCGTGCTCTCCATAACTTTGATCTAATCCAGCGCCCTTCCACAAGATATTTTATTAGCTAAAGTACCTATACGAGAATGAAAGTTCTCTTAAAATGTTATTTATCAATAGTTACACACACACACACACACACACACACACCACACACACACACACACACACACACACACACACACACACACACACACACACACACACACACACACACACACACACACACACACACACACACACACACACAAACAATATATATATATATATATATATTATATATAATATATATTTATATATATATTAATATAACACTGCGACTCACCAAGGACTCGAACCCATGTCGTTTTGGCCCGCCTCATGGTGAACGAAAATCACATGACGCTCTAACCCACAGGACCACTCAATCCGACAAGAATCACGCACCCAGCAGAGCTAGGTGTTTTACCGTGATCCAAGGACATGCGATGGTGTGGGTGCCTCAAAGCTCACCATGAGTCGGGCCAAAACGACATGGGTTAGTCCTCGGCTAGTCGTAGTTCGTGGTTACAATAAATAAATAAATAAGTATTTGTGTGTACACACCCACACACCCCAGGTACTTGTGTATGCACTTATTGCAAGTGTTTTACTGACCCCTTCTAGTGCTTGCCGGAAATTTTTTCTGTCTGACCTTTGGTAAAGGGCGCCGCCTCCTTACCCCACTATTAATAACCGTTGCCCGACACTGTCAAAAATACAACACTAAGTTGTTAGTGTACCTCGGCTGTGCTCTGCAACCGCACTTTGTTGTTTCACCAGAGCTCTTAATAATTTATCCCCATTTTCCTTATAAACCTCACTAATCATCCGGGGATATTTAGTTTAATATCCGTATTAAGGCAAGTACATGCGAGTCATGACCTCGTACCTCTCCTCTCTAGTGGTTTCAAGATACTTGTTCTTCACTTCCTTGTCTACCATCACCCACTTCATTGTCTGCATTTTGTCTTTGAACGGGATGGCGGTTGGAGTTTCCGCGATGATGAAGGACTTCTGATCCAAGAAATATAGCTACGCTCCTCTTTGGATCAAATATAATTCCTTCTATTTCCCAGGCTTAAGGGTTTAGCGCCTCCACTTGAACATATTTGATATAGCTGAACATTTAGAATCGCGGAATTTTCTTCCTTGATACTTGAGCTTGGCACACCTGGCCGTGTGTGCTGTGTGGCAAGGGTCTTGAGTGTATCTGCAACCCTCTCAACTGTTAAACCTCTAGTCACTGTGATTCCTATTGACGTAAGGGAACTGTCATAACAATCGCCAAGTTCCTGCTAATCAGTTCTACGAATTAATTACTTGTATGAGAGGGGGGGGGGTGCCAGGCATGAGAGCTGAGGCAACCTAATTTGCATACCGGAAGTGAGAGTATACTTGGGTAGCGGTGAAGGATAAAGCCAGGCAGGCACCGCTGCCCACTTCCCCTCGATTTCCTCCTGACCTACTTCCGGGTCACGACCACGTACTTAACACGTCTACACACGTTCCTACTCTGAACATTATTAGGTAAATAACTTACACCTGGAACCCATCATTTGCTATGCGTCTCGTCCAAACCTTCCCTACTGTAATCCTCCATCCCGACTTTATTTACTGCTTCTTTTCACCACTCTGTATTGCTCTCTCCTTTCCCTGAATTCACTCTACTCCCTCTAAAACCTCTTCATTCTGCCCTTACCCTAGAACACCACCTTCCTGTCTTAGCTGAAAACTCAACTTTTTTTTTTTTTTTTTTCTGTTTTAAATCCTCTTTGAGACCCGTCAGCTTTTTTTTCTTTCTTAGTTAAGATTATGAAGGACGCTTGATCCGAAGAATTGGAGCTACCTTGTTCCTTGATTCAAAATTTATTATTAACCATTCTCCAGGCGCTAAATGACTTACGGGTTTAGCGCTCCCAATGAATAAAAAAACACCATCGTTCTTTTTTCAGTGTTTATAATGTACTGTTCACTAGCTCATACGTGATAATAACTACCGTCCCCCGTCCTCTTCTGTTATACATTTACTAGGAGCTCTCTTGTACGTGTAAGTTGCACAAGGTAAGTAATACCGACAAATGGATGAAGACATACAACGTGTTAGGCATTTTTATTTAGAAGTTTTGCTTACCAGGCGCTTCTGTAATCCAATCAATTGATGAAGTTCGTAGTGATAACCTCTTGAAGAAAAGTTTTCCCTGTATTGTATGTGTGTTCTTTATACTCTCAAAAGTCTTTTAGTAGGCAGTGTTGGTGACACGTTACAGCTGTTTAAATATGGAAAGACTGAAGGACTCTGAAAGGACACTATTCAAAACGCAGGAATATCTTGTAGACCGAAAGAAACATGTGTAGTACCTGGCTGTTATAAAGTCAGCTGACCTTTTAAGGAACACAGTAAAGCAAATGTCATGAAAGTCAGGAAAATGATTAAGGTGGATAATGACAACTTTTAAAACAATGGAAGTAATGGAAATGATGACGCTTCAAATCACTTTTACTCTTTCGCTTAGAGTATTATGCAGGGCGAGAGAGAGTTCAGAGCTAGAACAAATACATTGACTGCCTGTATAGAGCACATTAAGCATTGAAATTACTGGGAAAGCCTCCAAGTTCTGAATATGTACTCACTGGAACGGAGGAGAGGAGTTTGTGTGTTTGTGGGGGGGGGGGTACGTACTGGGGGGCTTAGTCCCAAACCAGCACGCTGCTTTAACATAGTAGTGAGAGGGATGGGGGAAAATGTAAAATAAACGTGATGAAAAACAAGAGCTCTGTGGGCACAATAAGAGAACATTTGTATTAACATCCGTTGGTCCAGACTAACATCTTAGCAGAAGATATAAAAAACTGCTAGAATAAATGTAGACGTCTTGAAGAAACTCAAGAAGTACTTCAAAGTGCCATATCAACCTGGATATGTGGGCCAGGGAGATGCCAGATGTAAACAGACTGATTGGCCAGGCAAGAACCAGACAAGCCTGACCCAGGGCCGGTCTGCAGGAGTAGGAAAATTCGAAACCCATGGAATGTAAAACGTGAAGGTCGTAAATTGCCTCTGTAATGATGCCTCGTAAATCACCATGGTAAATTGTTCATTAGAAAATGTAGTTTGTACACTTTGTGGTTTGTTCTCTCTATATACTGTGATTATATATATGCTCTCGAATATATGGTGTCATCTCTGACCAATGTTGGTCAACCCGTTCTCCTAAAGCAATCGTAAATTTCTTAAACAAAATTTTTACGCAAATATATCGATATCCTTGATTTTGGTTAGGTTAGATTTTCGCTTGTAAGCAAAATATACTTTTTTCTTAGCACAACGCCAGCAAATGTAATAATACATGAAGGCTAAGCTTTTGAAGGCGAACATAAAAACGGATCTACCTTGCGGAGTGTATAATAGTCAAATAATCAAGTTTTCGTTCCTGTGTCAGTCACACACATGACGTTCTGAGTAAAGTGCTAAAATGAACTTGATTAGGAGCTTCGACTGTGTTGAACTCTTGCCTTGAACAATCCTCAGTGCTTAAGAAAAACCAACCCGCTCTGTTCTTGAGGAAGGTTGCATGTTTTCCCGGAAAACTTTAAAAGAAACAATATTTGCTAGGCACGAAAGCGACAAGGAGCTTCGTAGAATAATAATGAATGTCAAAAGAAATAGTTGGGTATTTCTTATGTGAGGAGAATTTTAATTATGTAAATAGAGGTGTTTAGTTATATTTGGCTGGCGAGCGCAATGTATGTCCATTAAGAGTAAAGTATGGAAACGTTAATACCGTCTGCATGATGGACGTGCTTGTGTTGATACCTTGTGGACCCGTTGTCAGGGTCGTGAATCATCCCCGTACCTGTTGGTAATGGTTCTGAATATCTCTTACTGTTTTTGAACCCACCCTGTGCTAGTTCTGAAGTTTTCTCCTGCACCTGAAGTTTGTGCCGGTTCGGAACCCTGATCTCAGTATTGTTGGTTTTGGTTCTGAACCGATCACCTCGGTTTATATTGACGTTGGTTCTGAACCCATCGCCCCATTTTTTCATTGTACTGGTTCTCAACTCTAATTCAGCAGTACAACATAAGAGGTTAACTCTTGTTATCAGTGTTGCAGTCTCCATCACGTGCCAGGATAGTCTCGCACGCTCTTGCATACCGCACCTCCATATCCAGTTACGCCTGACGGAAATAACATCTCTTGTAAATAGACAACCACATATATAGACCGCTAAACTAAAAGCGCTTATTTATTAAAGGTTTAGTGTTGCTATCTGGAAGACGTGAGGCAAGAGGTGTGTATATGTGTACTCGCCCAATTCACCTAATTGTGGTTGCAGGGGTCGAGTCACAGCTCCTGGCCCCGCCTCTTCACTGCCCCTTGAGCTTTATCATACCTCTTCTTGAAGAGCTATGATATGAGTTGTGTGTGTGTGTGTGTGTGTGTGTGTGTGTGTGTGTGTGTGTGTGTGTGTGTGTTGTGTGTGGTGTGTGTGTGTGTGTGTGTGTGTGGTGGAGAGAGAGAGAGAGAGAGAGAGAGAGAGAGAGAGAGAGAGAGAGTAAATTAATAAATATGCGGTCGGTGACCTGGTGGTGCAGACGGTGTGTGTGACCTGGTGGTGTTTCTTCCCACAGGCGTCCGTGGTTCAGATCAACGACTCCGCCGAGGCTCTGCTCACCTCCGCCTCCAACGTCAGAGTAGCTAAGAAGATCGAGACCAAACTCAGGGAGCTCAACACAAAGTGAGTACACGTTTTCTTGTCTTGGAACTTGAGATTTCTTTTTACATGCTTAAATTGATTACTGCTTACCAGTAATCCACACAATTTGGAGAGTAAACTTTAGGAGTAGTTTCGAACCGTCTTGGATCATTATGAAATCGCAACATATCGCAGCATTTCATCTCCGAAATATTGAGCTATTTGTGAGTAGCCACGGTATTTTTTTTTTCGTAAATGAGGTAATTCAAGTAGCTTAAGTTTTGTCGATATTTATCCAGGTGCTTTTGTTTTTAAAGTTCTTAAGCAGGACGGTGGAGAAGTTTTGTATAATGCTCTTACATTTTTTTAGTACAATTTCAGGTCACAACAAGTGAGAACCGTAACTTCCACATGGTTGTAATAGCATATGAAAATTTAGGCTACAGGTTTGGAGAAACATGGCAGCAGGTTACAAGATTTAAATAACGACGACTTACAGTAGATGAATGTTAGGAAGTAAATATCTACAGCATTACAATAAGATTGCCTTGGCAGTCAATAAGGTAGTCTGGCTTCTGGCCGGGTTGCAGGGGTAGAACCTTCGAAACTGATCACAGGTAAAGTGTAAATTAAAGAATAAACATTGGGGGTCAAAGATTTGTATAGATTATCTGTATATGTGGCAGGTAGAAACTCGGAAGAAGCAGATAGTTGTGTGGACAAGACTTAAGCACACTTAGGCGTTATATCTTAGAATGTTCAGGAATATAGAATACTATCAAAACATATGAACAATATAAGCACATAATTATGGTTTGTTTCCTTTTTATAAAATAACATTTTGCAGGAATTTAAATAAAAAATTCATGTGGATAGTGATGCCTGAATGTTACAGCATAAAATGTTGAAGTTGATATCGCCAGTTGTATGTAAACTATTCATGAGTATGTTCACTCAGGGGATTGGTGGTGCTGCTCATTAAACTTCTCTCTCGGGCCAAAGATCTTTAAAAATTTCCCCTCCCCCCCAATTTGTGTATATTGGTTGTAGTTACTTTCGAAGTACATTGTTGATAAATGGAACTATCGTATTTACATACGGTAGTTCCATTTGCACTATTTCTTCTCTCAAAGTGGTGTAGTACAGGTGTCGCAATGTACTGGCTTATAGTATTTAGTTGCAGCGGTAGAGTCTGCTGGCCCCTCCTCTTCGCCGGTCGCTACTAGGCTCACTTTTCTTGCTTTGAGAGCCTTATCGTACCTCTTCATAAAGTTTTGTATGGATCCTCCGTCTTTCACTTCACACTCCAGGTCTTTGTGTCATACTTCTTGTTAATCAAATAACTTTTAGAAAACCAAGGTAATACGTCTAGGTTGTTGTTCTCATTGTATGGTGTATAACGTTTCCTAGGATGCTGCATGTTAAAAATTGTTAACTCCGATAAGATAAGCTAGTATAAGACGATCTGGTATAGACGAGTGGTTGGTGGTTCCTTCAGCTTTGTATCATATGACAGAACAGGCACACCTAAAGGTCGACACTATTTATTATATGCCCATAAATATTTTTAGCGAGGTTGGTAGATTATAGTGGATGTGTTCTCTGGAAGGCGGTGTCGTGTACAGGTGTACAGCAGGTGTGACAGTTGTACAGGTACAGCAAATGTTCGTGCGCGCAAGTGGGCGGTATCACCTGTGCGTGTCGTGAGACAGATGCCCCCCCCCACACGTTGTGCGCGCGCGCGCGCGCACACACACACACACACACACACACACACACACACACACACACACACACACACACACACACACACACACACACACACACACACACACACACACACACACACACACGCACACACACGCGCGCGCGCGTACGTGTACACAAATATTCGTCACGGATATTTTTAGTTGCAGGTGATTAAGTGTGTTCTCAAGCTGGTGTGGGTGTAGGTTGCAGGGTAGACGTCACCTTCCCGGGGTGCTGCTAACAGTACTCTGGCCACTTCAGAGTCACCTGCCTCACCCTTGCAACCAATATCAGTAGGAAGAAGTCCTTTGTGTTAAAAAAAATTGCCATTATTTTTAGTGACTTCCTAATTTCTATAGTATGATGCCTTTACAATTCATCCTCATTTTACAGCTTTGTTCTTCTAGACTACCACAGTAAATTTCTGAACGTTTTTCACATAGGAAATTCATTTATTCTAGGTTAGGACACCACATAAAAACAAACATTTTACCATGAATAAGCAAGTTTGAGGCAATACGTCTGGCAACGCGGGGTCTGTAAACAAAGGAAACGTTTAAATTGACACGCATATCACGCGTAGTGTGATTGTGGGTGAGGGGGGGGGGGAAGGTCCAGAACCACGGAGCGAGACAGACCACTGGATGAGGTTACGTAAACACGCGTGTCAACCCAGCTAATCTTACGTGACTTGGGACTGCTTCAATGCTTCGCCGTCTGCTCCATCACAACCTCCCGCCAGCCTATCTACACCTTCCAACACAACGTTGTCGGGGATATTTGTGGAATATCATATTACGAGTCATACAGTATAATGTTCCTGTGGTTTTGCATGACTGATTTTACATCATACATAGCCTTCCTCGGTGATGTGCCTAAAACATATGTCCAGCTATTTTCAACCAATCCTCATTTAAAACTTTTCTTTTTCCTACCCGATTTCCAGCCTCAATTTCTGTACGTTGCATGTAATTAAAGAAAATTTTTTTTCATGTTAGGTTATTTTACTTTTTTGTGGGTGAATGTTTTATATGTTCATGTAACCAACAGTATTTCAACGTTGCCTAGGCTTGCTTTAGACATACCATTACCAAAAACGCCCTCCAAAAGTCCACGTCGATGTTTTTTGTATGGTTCTTAAGCAAATTTATCGTTATACGTTGTTTAGGTTGTTAGATTGTCATATATTAGTAAAATTTAAACAATCATAACGTGCATAACGGCAATACCTGCGATTCTACGTAAGGACAATAGAAACTTTTGAAGCTCGAACAAAGAACTAATACCCACTGAGCTGAATATAAGATACACCGTCAAATAATAATCCGTCCTCGTAAATTCTTCTGTTTCTCAAATATAGTGCTTATCAGCATAGACCTCTATTTACGGTATATGTTAGGTTTATAGGACCACCACAACAATAAATGAAATGCTGTAGAGAAAATGTTTGAAGCGCTAACAGAAAATGGTCATGTTACCAAAAGTGTTGGCAGAATTTTATATTTCCCTATTTGTATTAAACTACGTATTTTATAAGCTTATTTAGCCTACCCTTGCCCACCTTACCCTTATTTAAATGTAATAGACTTAAAGATTAAATTTAAATCTGGCTTAACAGTAATAAGAATATAAGCAATTTCCTTATGTGTAGGTGGTTTATAAGCGGCAGTAGTGGTGCGATATTAGGTAAGAGGTCGTGGTAGACTGCTTGCAGGGAATGGATGGTGGGGGAGGCAGGTGTACAGGTCTCATGAATGTTAAACAGTCTGACTTTGTACTGGCATCAGGTGCTGACTAGGTCCTGTTCTCACAGCACCCAGCACACTCGCTTATAGTGTACAGTTTTACGTGTTCTTTGAGATAATATAATTTGGATGTCTACTAGTAATTTGTACTGAAATGCCAGCTATGTATGGCTGTTCACTCATAATGAGGGACGCTACCTAGTAGTCATTATAGCTGTATGTTCTCAAAATATGATAATTTTTTGTGGCAAGTTGATTTATATATATATAAATATATATAAAGTTGGCGAGTAAGACGTCGTTGCTAACACTTAGCGCAATTACTACCTGTGAAACATGACGGCGCGAACTGTGACGTCATCAGAGGGGTAGGGTTTATAAGTCAGTCAAAATATTCAAGATTCATTTTTTTTTATCTGGTAATATGTCAATTATAGTTTATAATTACTAATCACTACGGTATTATGGGAATAATTTTCGTTGATGGTTTTGAGTTGTTTCCCAGTACCGCAGCACTGAAGGCACCACATGCCATTGACCCAAAGCCTACGTACCATTGTTTTTTTTGCCTTGAGCATTTAAGGCACAGGGTGAGTTTCCGAGACTTTTCATTTCTTTTTTTTTGGGGGGGGGGACGCTCCTAGTATGCCAGAAAATGTGCGTGTGCACGTGTGGTGCGACTTTAAATTATCTACCTCGCCTTGAGTGGGAATAGATGTGTGAGAGTTGGGACTTGTCAGCCTGTAGACCTACTACAGTGTGCCTTAAGACTCGCGAAATCGTAATGACACTATTGCAAACAAGCCATACCACGGGTGGGGATAGAACCCGCGATCAGAGTCTCAAAACTCCAGACCGTCGCGTTAGCCAGTGGACCAGCTAGCCTTAATAACATATTGTGGCTAGCTGGTCCAGTGACTAACGCGACGGTCTGGAGTTTTGAGACTCTCTGATCGCGGGTTCTATCCCCCCTTCCCCGTGGTATGTTTTTTTTTTTATTTTTTGCGTGCCTTAAGTATTTAAGGCCTGGTAAGAAGTGTAGTGGGGGGCGTTGCGGAGGGGGTTTGGTTGGAAGGGAAGGCCTTCTACGGGCGGGAACGCCTTGTTGGTTTCAACTCCCACACGCCATATATTATATATACTATTATAATATATATAATATATATATATATTATATATATTACATATATATTATATATATCATATATATATATATATATACATATATATATATATATATATATATACATATATAATATATATATATATATATATATACATATATATATATTAATATATTTATATATTAATATTATATATACATATATATATATAATATATTATATATATATATATATACATATATATATATATTATAATATATTATATATATATATAATATATATATATATATATATCTATATAATATATATATATAATTATATATATAACTATATATATATATAATATATATAATTATATTATACATATATTATATATATATACATATATATACATATATATATACATATATATTATATATATATA